TCTCAAGCCAGCGGCAGGTGGAGAGAAGTTAGTATTTCTCCAAAAACAGATGCAGAACTTGAGAGCAGTCACCAGAAAAAGCAGGTCGTAAAACCAGAGGCACGATTTCACTTTTCCAAAATGTAGAAATGTCTGCAAGGTTCCACCCCGAAATGTTAGTCGTGGTTGTCGGTGGGCGGTTAGATTGTGCTTGGCTTCGATTCCTCCTCCTGATTTCCTGTCTGTTCCGAATGTGTCCACAGTGAATATGTGTTAGCTTGTAGTACAGGAAAAAAAATTCAAAATGTATTTTAAGAAAAGGGGAAAAAATGGGTTGAGCAGCCTTGGGGGACACGTTTGCGGGTGAGACGTGGTGGGAGGCCCAGGCAGTGCCCGCGTCTACCAGCAGCGTCCCGCCCGGACGCACCTTCTCAGCTTCTGACCTTCCTCCCTGCCGTCTCCCCCGCAGACAAGTTCACGGTGAAGGTTCCCAGCTACCGCGAGCCAGACCTGAGCCAGAAGCCCCGCTTCCTGGTGGGCCTGCGGACCCACCTGCTGCCCCTGGGCTGCGAGTGCTGCATGACCTGCGCCGTGCAGGGCTGGCCCCGGCCCCGCGTCACCTGGTTCAAGAACGACCAGAGCCTGGCAGGGAGCCCCACCGTGTACAGCACCGACGTGCTGGGCGTCTGCTCCCTGGTCATCCCCAGCGTCTCCGCTGCGGACAGCGGCGAGTACAAGGCGGTGGCCGAGAACCCTCTGGGCCAGGCTGTCAGCACCGCCAAGCTCATCGTTGTAGGTGAGGTGCTGCCTCGCAGGGGCGAGCCGGCTGGGGGAGGAGGAGGGGAGCCCCAGGAGCAGCCCGGCCTGCCTTCCGGGAGCCATCTAGGGACCCGTCCCCTCTAGAGTGATGGGCTGGGATCGGAACAGCAGGGACCTCCGCCTGGCTCTCCGCGGACTCTGTTATGTAACCTCTGTCCCAGAGGGGCCTTGGCTTGCCCGTCTGTACAGCCCAGTGACAGATCACTGGTGAGCAGCTCTTGGCTCAAGGGCTCCGTGTCCCCCAGCTAAGCTTCCCCGTGCGGCCTTGCCGCCCAGTTCAAGTGGGAGACAAGAGGCTTTTCTGCATTAAAGCTCGTAACTACGCCCAGAGACAGACACCTAGTGCCCCACAGCCACCTTGGTTCTCTCACTGGTGGTCCCCTTTTCAGGAAAGCAAATTGCATATGTTAATAAGGTAACATTTCCCCCCAATAACAACTTACACTTAAGGAAAAGTCCTAAACATTTTAAAAGATTCAGAATTGACCTTGGTGCAGAAATGGCCCTTTCAGCCCTGGAAGGAACATCTTGTCTCTCTGGGGCATCCAAAGTGCCCAGCCCATGAGCAAACCTGATGTTAGGGATGGTCTGGGTTGCCTGAGGGGACAGGGAAGAACCTTGTCTGGAGATGGAGAGCACGTGGTGGCCGTGGATGGATCTGAACACCCTGGATGGTCAAGCCACCCCCACCCTACCCCCAGCCCACCTGACCCCTGCAGTGTCACATTGACCTTTGCTCTGTATCTTTGCAGAATCTAACCCCTAGCCCCGCCTCCCCCTGTGATGGCCTCGCTCAGCCCTGCAGCCCCTGAAGATCTCTGAAACATCACTCCTGACACCACGCTGAAAGGATGGAGGACGCTGGAGTTCCCAGAGCCCCAGGGAGACCGGAGTCAGGGGCTCCTGGGGAAGCCACGCCAGGAGGGCACGGAGTTTTGGGGAAGAGAAAGAAGGAGGGGACACTCAGTGTCCCAGCCCTGGGCTGTCACTGAGCCAAACGGCAGCGAACCTCCCGCTTGGGGGCTCCAGTGGACCGGGGTGTGTCTGCAGGAAGGAGGCCGAGTCCTGGTCTCCCCAGGCTGGGCCCCGAAGGGAGGGTGGGGAGGACTGGGCCAGCGTGACCACAGTGGGGGTGGGGTGAGGGCGGGGCCTGTGTGTGGGAAGGCTGCTCTCCGCGCTTCTCCTCATTAAAGCATTGGCCGCTTCCAGCAAATCATCGCGTGTCAATCTGGGGTTAGTCGCTGGAGGAAAGGGCCTTTGCACCAGCTCCCGCTGGGAGGGTGGGTCGGTTCCGTCTCGGCGGAGAGCTGGGTGGAAGTGGGCTCTTCCTCTGCAGCCCAGGCCTGCGCAGTCAGTTCCCTGGGTGGGGAAGCTGAGGGGATCTGCAGTCCTGAGTCCTCGCCTGGCGCCCCCAGCACACCTGTGTCTGGCAGGAATTCCGCGGGGCCCAGCCGGAGGCTTCCCTTGGTGGGGCTGGCGCTGTGGGCCCAGCAGGTGTGTGGGGATTCGGCCCTTACTCAGGGCTCTGTGGGCCCCCTCGCCCTCCACAGCCCCGCTGCCCCGTGTCACGGGCGGGCCCTGTGTCACAGACGGTTCGGGATGCCTCCCTTTCCAGTAAAGGACCTCTGTGGGGCCCACCACCACTGCCAGAAGCTCTGGTCCGAATTCCTCCTCACGGCCTGGCCCCTGAGCCTCCCAGGCTCCTAGGAGATACTTCGGTCCCCAGGGCCACAGGGAAGGGGGAAGGGGGTAGGCGGAGCGCAGCTCCCCAGTGTGTCAGCTTTGAGGCCTGGAGCCCCCCTACTCCCTGCCCCCACTGAGCTGGAGCAAGTCTGTTCTCACTCCCTCTGCCGGGATCCAGCTTCCCCTCCCCCTGCCTGCAGGGTGGGGGTGGGGCACAAGTATGAGGGGCTGGAGGACAGATGTCTGCACTTGCTGGGAAGTGGGAACAAGTGCTCAGGCAGAGCTTCCAGAGCTGGAGAGGTTGGAAAGGCAGTGTCGGGAGGAGGGAGAAGGGGGCTCCGCAGGGTGGGCGGCCAGTGCCCTGCTCCCCTGGACCTGGGCAGGGCTCATCCGGCAAGGACGAGAGAAGAGCCCCTTCTGCAACCCCTGGGGTTGGGGAGGGGGGACCTGGCTTCCTAGGAGGCCCAAGAACAAAGCCTGACTCTTGGTGGCTTCTGGAGACACATCCACATGTCTGACAGGCCTGGAGCAGGAACCGTGCAGGGAGGTACTCTCAAGTTGCCTACCTTTTGGAAGGGGGAAGACTTGCACCCCGGAAGCCTAATCCAAGGTAGAAAGTGACACATGCTCTAGGGGAGAAAGTTGGAACGCCCGGAGGAGCTGGGGTGAGGAGGATGCTACGGCTATACCAAGGAAGGCTTCCTGGAAGCGGTGACATCTTGGAAGGATAAGAGGGAGTGGGCAGGCAGGGGCGGGGAAGGGCTGTCAGGTGGGGAGAAGACCCCTGCACAGGCATGGAGACGGGAGAGGGCAGACTAGGCTCCAGGACAGGGAGGGGTTTAGTTTGGACAGCGCAGCCCAGGACAGCAGGGCACTGGCTAACTTCCCAGGCATGTCCTGTGTCCCCGGGAGGGGCCAGCACACTCCTGGGACTGGACAGGAAACAGCCACAGGGTTTATGTTCATTTTCATACAGAGCCCCCTAAGCCCTCACCAGTCAAGAACAGGAAGAGAATAAATTCAGGGTTTGAAGACTAGTTCTGCTACTAACTAGCTGTGTGATCTTTAACCTGGTTATGCCTGGTTCCTCATTTGTAAACCAATAGTAGTTGCCTAGCCCCAGGTCCCAGATGTTGTCTCCTGTTTCCTCTGGAAGTTTATGGTTTTCGTCTTTACATTCAAGTCTACCCATTCTGAGTTAGTTTCTATATGATGTGAAGTAATTATCAGGCTTTCTTCCTTCTTTCCTTTTTTGATTATCCCACTGGTCTAGCACCATTTAAAAAAAGACACCTCCCTTTGCTCCACTGAATTACCTTGAAACTTTGTGGAAAACCAATGGACCGCGTGAATGCAGGTCCACTTTGGGCTCTGCATCCCCTCCTCCTCTTCTGTTTTCTTTAATAGATACGTGGAACTATTTAGACTATCCGCTTCTTCTTGAAAGAGCTTTGATAATTTGTGACTTTTAAAGAATTTGTCCATTTCATCCAGGCTGTTGAATTTATTGGCATAAAGTTGTTTATCATATTCCTTTGCTATCCTTTTACCATCTGTCAGATCTCTAGTGAGAACCTCTCTTTCATTCTTTTTTTTGCGGGGAGAGAGGGAGGCAACTAGGTTTATTTATTTACTCAGTTTTGGAAGAGGTGCTGAGGATGGAAACCAGGGCCTCCTGCACACTAAGCGTGCACTCTGCCGCTGAGCTGCACCCTCCCCTCCTTTCATTCCTGATGTTGGTCATTTGCATCTTCTCTCTTTTATTTTTAATCAATTTGGCTATAGATTTATCAACTTTATTGATCTTTTCAAAGAACCAGCTTTTGGTTTCATTGACTTTTTTTCTCTATCTTCTGCTTTCAATTTCGTTCATCTCTGCTGTCACGTTTGCTGTTTCCTTCCGCTTACTCTGGGTTTAATTTGCTCCTTTTTCCTCCTAGTTTGTTAAGGTCAAATCTTAGATTACTCATTTTAGACCTTTATTCCCTTATAACACATGAGCATGTGATACTGGGAATTCTCCTTTAAACATTCTTTTAGCTATATTCCACAAACTTGCATATGTGGTTTTTATTTGTATTCACTTCGAGGTATTTGCTAATCTATTTTATGATTCCTTCTGTTACCCATGGTTTACTTGGAAGCGTGCTGTTCAGTGTTGGAGGTGGGGCTTCCCAGCTAGCCCTTACTGATTTCTAGTTTAATTAATTCTATGGTGGTTAGAGAACACGTTTTTATGACATGAACTCTTTTAAATCTAATGAAACTTGTTTCCTGGCTCAAAATCGGGTCTATCTTAAATGTTCTCTGTGCACTTGAAAAGCATGTGTCTGCGTTTGTCGTGTGGAGTGTTATGCAAACATCAATAAGGTCACGTTGGTAAGGGTGTCCTTCAAGCCTCCTCTGTCCTTGCTGATTCTTGTTTGTTCCCTGGGTTGCTGAGAGGGGAGCTGACGCAGCCAGCTACATTCTGCATTTGTCCGGGTGTAACATTTATCACCATTTACCTTCCAATGCTGCACGCCCTCCCGGAGGGCACGAGAACCCCCCAGCAGACGGTTCTCCCCCCATCCTCAGTGCTGCTCCTGCCAAACCCTTTACTTCTGCTTCAATTATAACCTCTGGATACATTGTTATTTCTGCTCTAAACTGAATTATCTTTTATGGATATTTTAAGTGAGGGAAGAAGTCTGTTTCTATTTTTCTATTTTTAGTGCTCTTTGTTCCTTTCTGTGGATAAAAATCTCCATCTGGTGTTTTGTTCTTCTGCCTGAGGAATTTCTTTTAACACTGCGCAGGTCTCTTGGCATTGCATCTCTAAGCTACTGTTTGTCTGAAAAAGTCTTTGTTTCTCCTTCACTTTCTTTTCCTTCAGCATCTAGCAAAAAGTTTTTTTATTCAACATTATGTTACACAAATATTCACAGGAAAGTTGAAGGAGTTATGCCCCGACCCAGGTGCCCATCAGCTGGATTCTACAATAAACGCCGTTGGCTGCCTCCCACGTGTGTCTGTCTGTGCACCTCTAGTCCATCTGTCTTATTTTTTGATACGTTTCCATGTAGGTTACAGTCCTGAGTACACCTCAGCCCTAAGCCCTCGAGCAAAGCAGATTTTTGCAGGTCTAGCGTTTGGCCACTAGAGGGCTTCCAATGCCACGAAAATTACCAGAAATTAAACCCGTCCACAGCCCTGCAGGGTCGCTTCAGACCTGCACGGAGCCCAAGCGGCATCAACGAAGGAGAGACTCCACGTGTGGTCCAGGAAGACGCCTCTTCACCCCAGAGCGCCCCATCCCCTTCTCACTTTAGTGATGAGAGAGAA